GTCATCATATTATATCTTTATTATATATTTTTTACACATATGAAAATCGGAAAAACTAAGAGATAATCTGTTAATCAGTTTGTATGTTCATGTTTCACTTATGAGTTATAATGAATAACTGAAGTATATATGATGAAATTTTCACAAAGTAATTTGGGTATTTTAATATGGGTTTTTTATATATATGAAAATTTAATTAGGAAAAATGCCCCTGTGGCAGAAATAAATTACTATATATATATAGACGTCGGTGTTGATGTGGGTGTCTTAATAAAATATTTTATTATAATACTAGCTGTGCCCGCGGTTTCACACGCGTGATATTTATAGTCTATATATTATTCTGATGTATAAGCTTCATCAAATTCCGTTCAGTAGTTTTTGCGTGAAAGTGTAACAAACATCCACCCATACCCACAAACTTTTTACTTTACAATATTAATAAAATATATTTAAAACATTGTTTTAACTTCCATTACTTGTTAATTATTTTCTATGTACGAGTACGTACAAACAAATTTACAGATTTAATATATATAGACATATTTCGTTTTTATCATAATAGAATTATGTACTTGCGCGTTACCATATGTTTATACAGGGTGTCAGTGTAAACAGCACTCAGAACAAGAGTGATGATTTAGAAGCTGAAACAATATTCTATATTCATACTGTATCCAAAAAAATTCAATGTTATTACATTTATTGTTATATGTGATAATAACGCGGGCCCAATGGCTATATTCCATGTCTTATATCAAAGAGATAATATAACTAGTTGTGCCCTACGGTTTCAGTCGATTTTACATTCAGTATTACTAGGTACTTATTCTTATTTAGTATGGAAGTGTTTCTATATAACTGCAATAGTAAACAAAGCTCACTTGATGGTGAGTGGTAACGGTCGCCTATATACATAACACCACGGACATCCACTTACAACGTCATATCTGTATGAGTGCAAGCGTTGTAAGACTAAGATATCTTTATCAGATCATATCTTGTAATTTCGTTGCTTTATATCACTCAATCGAAAATATTACAAAGCAAGACTCTGCGATTGAAATAGGTGTGATAAAGATACTCAAGCAGACAATATAGTAGAAAGTCTACCTTTGTTAAGACATAAGTTTATTAATAACTACATAGCTACTCGCCCCGGCTTCGCACAGTGTGTATAATACATATACATATATTATACACTCTATATATTCCTAAAATCTAAATATAAATCAATTACGTATTTTAAAAAATCTAAGCTGAAGCGACTTCATTTTATACTATGTAAAGATTGGCAGTGTTTATTACGTAATAACTGAACTAAACTATAGTGTATAGGCAAATTGTTATTATTATTATTATTATTATACTCCCTGACGTTTTATCTATACATGAGGCGATCTAGGACACTCTCCGAGTTTAGGGTTACAATAATAATAATATTAGGACAATTCACAGAGCGCCATCTGACCCAAGTTAAGCTAGCTAGAGCTTGTATTATAGGTACTAGACAACTGATACAAATAGATAGATTTCTTTTTCGTAAATATATACATATTATACATACAAAACAATCATACTCATGAATACAAAAGTTTGTGCCGTGCGAGGAATAGAACCCGCGACCATCGGAAGTAAGGTGCTAAACCGCTAAACCACCGCGGCTGTCAATGTCAAGTTATGTGTAAAACCCTTTATTAATCGTTACTGGCTACAATAAGCGTCACTAAGCTATAAGCAAGACGCTATATATTTGATAGAGGTGAGGCATACCAACGATTACAAAGGACGCCGTGATTTCAAATATTCATGAGGCACCTTCAGAAGCCCGTACGACACTTTGTATTACTCTAAAATCTGCTTGTGAATACACAAAATTTACCTGTTAATTGTATTACATCAGTAATAAATGATAGAAGTGAATACTGGAATGTTACGTCGTGAAATTTTCCTGTAGGCTCTACGATTTTACTTTGCTTAATATATATTCATGACTGAAATCCCAAATAGGTCTTATAAGATTTATTTTCGGTTTTCGAAAATTCGATCATGTTTCCGAGTTTCGCACTAAACTCAAGTGGCCTCCTATTCGCTTTCGCCGGAATACTCACATTCTCCCTTCTCCATAATACCCTTTATCCTTTATAACTATTCAACTCCTAACTATTTGAAGAAGGAGCGGTTTGTTTTCCTTCATAACTCTAATAACGCCAATCTTAGGTCATCGGAGAATCTCCAGTTAAGGACACCAGTACATCATACTGCTTTTTACGACATGTCCTTCACGGTACTTGCTGTCCGACTATGGAACGAACTCCCACTTCCCATACGTAAATTGACATCACTGTCTACTTTTAAATCGAGAGTTAAAAAATATTATTCACGAAATTTATCTTCACAGTAACTTCGCTATTGTATAGATAATATTATTTTATTTATTTATATGTATGTATGTATATTTTATATATAATGATTATTATGTAGTTACATATAATTGTTATACCTCGACCAGACACAGTCTAATGACGCCTCTCCATCCTAAGGTTGCATGGAAGAAACCGCTATTTAGCGATAAGGCCGCCCATTGTTACCTCTATATTATAATGATGTTGTTTTTTCTTTTTATATTTGATGTACATATTAATTTAGGTAATTATTCTTTCTGTGAGAGGAACAATAAAGTGTTTTTCATTTCATTCATTTTTCATTTAGTTTAAAGCATTGTCTCGAAAACTCATCAAATCAAATTAAAATAAATTTATATATTAGTAGGACATTTTAGCCGCTTATGAACGTCAAGTTTTGCCGTCTGGAATGGACGGGGAGCGATCGAAGGAGAAAGACTGTGATTAAGGCAACATAACGTGCCAACTTTTCGCTGATAATAATTGATTTCTACGTGCCAACAAGTCTACCGCAATCTCTCGGATAGTTTGTTATCGTTTTTTTTATACTAGAGGAACGCTGGTCAGAGATTTAATTAACACATATAGTTTGCATAATATGATATCCTCTGTATATAATTCTTTCTTTCTATGTATATAATTACGAGAATGTAAGGACGGTAAGTACATATAATATGAAATGAGATGAAATTCGGTAGATACTTAAAAACACGATTCTCACAGTTACTATCGACTTAAAATAAAATTGAACAAAGACAATAAAACACAAACAAAACCAATGTATCATTTTTCTTTTTATATTTTAAAATCCATACTAATATTATGAATGCAAAAAGGCGTCTGTCTGATTGTTAGCTTTTACCGACTAAACTTATTATCATAATGAATTTTGACGTAAAGATGGTATCACTGTGGCTATTTTTAGTAAAAAAAAGCTATCAGTCAAACTGTAACAGTCATAATTATAACTTAATATAATCCTATTAGAATTTATTCATTTCCATTTCACATACAATGGATATTTTTGTGACCCTAAACATGGTAGACAAGAGTCTTCCCAAAAGCCTTGTATAGCACCATATATATAAATAAATATATATAGAAGTAAATGATGTTAGAATTGTCTGTAAAGACAGAACCTATTTACACCCAGTTGTCTCTATCTGGCCCTTAGGGAGCAAGCGTTAAGATAGATAATGTATAACAGTGTAACATTAATCCAATCTGTTACGCCCAAAGGTCGTAAGTTCATATTTAGTCGGCACTAAGAACTTTGTGTCCATTTAAATTTATAACTAACTCTCAAAACTAGTTTAATTCAAATTAGTACAAGACTATATGCCTCTGACTGCGTTCATGTGTATAATAAATTCAAATTTAATAATTTAGGTCTATTACAGGCTCTTATGATATGTATGTCAAATCTACCGCCAGTACGGAATGATTTCGAAATGTGAAGAACTGACAAGAAACTCAGCTCGTATTCTTTTCAAATAAATGTAGTACATGTTTATAATAATACAGATTCAGGGAGTACTCTATTCAGAGAATAGAGTGATCACAAAACAATTTATATTCAATACTATATAACAGACAGCTTTCGACAGCTATCGAGGTAGGCTGTGTACAAAGCTTTCCGATTACAGCTTGTTTTAAGCTGTGTTTGCGTTGAAGGTTGAGATATAGCAGTTAAATTACAGGACACAGAGGTACCTTAGCCTTCCGGAATGGCAAGATAAGGGTAACGCTGAGTGTTCGTGCTGTTTATGTGAGTACATAGACAGCAATTGACAATTACCATGAAGTATTTATTGTAAACTAGCTGTCACGGCAAACGTTGTTTTGCCTTAAAATAAAAAAAAAATTTAGGGGTGGACTACCCTTAACATTTAGGGGGATGAAAAATAGATGTTGGCCGATTCTCAGACCTACTTAATACGCTTGCAAAAATTCATGAGAATCAAAAACAGTTTTGTCACTAACACCGCAGCCTGCACCTAACTCGGACGTGGTTTGTGATAGATCCGCTTTCACAATAGCCTTCAATTCTTCATTATCAACCTTGGACTCCGACCGCCCACGGGGCTTGTTTTGTAGGTCGAAATTTAGTGAACGAAAACGTTGAAACCCAAAAAGCACTGTGTTTTTTTTGGGACACCACCGCCATACACATTATTAATCCCTCGAGCCGTTTCTGCACAGCACAGTAAATAACGCGATATTCGACGATAGTAAATAACGCGATCGGTCAAGCCGTTTCGGGGGAGTATGGGAACGAAAACTGTGACACGAGAATTTTATATATAAGATAAAGTATTTATGTATCGATTATTATACACGAAGTATGTATTATAACTAGATTGTATTAAGTACCATTTAAATATATAAAATTATTAGTATTTTTTATAACGTAATCGCGGCAAACAAGCGTACGGCCCATCATAAATACAAACTGATATACTGTAGTTAATAATATCTGAAGCAATGGCAAGTCTTACATTTTATGGTCAACAAAATACAAGGACACGTTACATAGCCTAGGGTTGCCAATTCACATATAAAAGCTAATAAAATAATATATTCTAACATACTGACCTGACTTTTTGGCACTGTTACCCTTTCCGCCATTTTTGTTTCTTCTCGGGTAGAGATTTATTTTGCTCTGACCACACCCCATCACAGTTGTTATTCATCCATCATCATCACCCGTGTTCACCTAATTATCACTCAATTCACTAGACATAGCAATATTAATGTTAAAATCTATATTTAATTTCGAATTCAGTTACGTTAGATTAACTTTATATTTTAATATGAAACGTCTGTTGCCAACAGTTGGAGACATTTCCGTTTCATTTTATATTTTTTTGTTTGTTTCTCTTCAACAGCGTTTCGACAGCGTTGTGTTGGCCGCATGATTTGTTGTCTGTAAAGAAATATATTTATATTACATTTGGAAATTAAATACATAACACTTATATGTATAGTCTGTAGTATAATACTTATATATTTATTTATTTAACTTTAATGCACATATTACAATATATAGTACAGTACATTTGGCGGACTTAACACTATGGGGCATTTTCTACCAGTCAACCATAGGTGGTGCAGAGAATAATTGTTGTATAATATATATAGTGTGTATTCACGCGAAGTTCATAAGAATGTAATTCTGAACAACATATATTTAAAAGAGCACGCAAGTTTCGTGTCCGTTCTTATTGTGATTAGTCTGCGTTCCGAATGAGTGGTAGAATTAAAAAATATGAATACTCAAAAGTGCTTATAATAAGTTTATTTCAATAAATATTATTTCGATTTCTATAAAAAACTAGCTGACCCGCACATCTTCGACTACAGCTCCAATCCTACTATTTATTTTATATCGTGATATTATCCTCCTAAAGCCTTCCTTGATAAATGAGCTATCTAACAGTATAAGAATTATCAAAATCGGTTCACTAGATCCAGAGATTACCCACTACAACCTTATAAACTCACTAACTTTATTTCTTTATAATGTATGCATACATAATATCAGAGAGAGATTTTGTACGTAAGTCTAAATTCAAAGGGTTTTTCATTATTTTACTAGTACAACCTTTTTGAAGTATTAATTAAAAAATGTTTTCAATATTACTGTATTATTTCATTATTATTTATAGAGTTTAGTAATTGCATAGAGTTTAAGATAGATAAATATCAGGCGATATGACAGTAAAATCCCATATCAAATATGATTACACCACATTGGCCTTAATACCAAATCCAGCCTCGCAGTCGCCGGACAACTTTATCCGGGTTTCCCAAGGTCAATATGAGGATCAAATATATGTTTAGTGTAAGCAGATTGTAACAATCAACCTACTCTCAGAGCAGACGTTCTAAATTCGAATTTATTTTTTATACGTTACGTGATATGTTCGCGATAAGTTTCTTTTTTTAAACATGAAAGTTTAAACCTATGCTAATTTTCTCAATATTAATAGTATATAGGATTAGTCATAAAGAGTGCACGCAGCTAAAAGCTAAATAGAAAACTCATGAAATTAAAACAAATAGGAGTGTTAATTCGACCATTGTCTCGCGCTACGGTCCATGAGGTGCAAGCAGGGAGATGTTCTCCGCGCAGGCACCGCGAAGTAAAGTCTTGGAGCTGTGTTTAACGAGGCGATATTATGGCGATAACAACTAATACATTAGGAGATATATAAGTGAACAATAACCCCCCTCCCCCTCCAACAAGTCGGGTTACATAATTTATAACTTAAGAACGGCAACAATGTATTAACATTGTTCCAAGCAAGATTAGAATTATTAAATTGCTAATTTGTTGTATTCATCTTCGCCCGAAAGAAGATATTTTAAAATTAAAATATTAGAATTGAAACATATGTAATCATAAATAACGAGATCAAATGACAACAGTCAGTATCAAATTGATTGATAGATCTTCATTCTAAATTGTTCTAAATCAGTCGATCAATCATCTTGTCAATCAAGAAACTAATTGACTGTTAGGCGGTCCTAAGTTCGTCGGGTCAATTTATAAATTACACGCTAAACTAATAAGTATCTCTAATAGACCTACATGAATAAACATATTTTGATTTGATTTGAAACTACTAAATAATAATAAACTAGGACAATTTATACAACGTCACCTAAGCCTAACTTAAGCTAAGCAGAACTTGTTTTGTGGGTACTAGACGATGGTGTTTGAAAACATTTTTTTTAAATAACCAGACCAATACAAACCACTCATACTCTGCGTATTATATATTTACCTATTTTGTATCAGATTTATTGACAATCTAACATAAAATTTGGTTCAAGTATCGACGATTACCTAGTTGATAACGTAATTGGTGTATTCTGTAATCGTTTAAGTGCGTTCGATAAGGTTTGATAAGAAAATATGTATGAAACAAGCTAATCTGTACGGCATTCTGGTTGAAAGCTACAACGCTTTGTTGTTTTTTGTTCTTTATGGTGAATATTTTAAGGGAATCACTTAAAATTCGCAATAAAAAAACAAATAAAAATTCCCCAATGTGTCACTAGTTCTGGTTGTTCCCCTCAGAGTTGATGGTAGGGCAAAGGAGTTCGATTAGAGCCCCCAAGCTTCACCCCTAGGGGATGCGGAGGTCTTATGTTTGACTGGGATTTCTTGAGTTTGGCTACATTGATTCGAGGTACATCGTGTGAATTTTTTATAAAGGAGTAATAAAATTGTTAATAATAGTAGTAAATAGGATTATTGGTCCTATCGCTTAAGGTATTATGTCCACCATGTGTATTTGTGTATTAGTTTTAATAAATAAAATAAACAAATTACTAGCAATATTACAGATCTAAGTAAATTCATAGTGAATGTTTAACTGCCCTATTTTTATCCTCGCACTAATGATCTTTCACAGGTGCTCTACCACACCGTTAGTGCAGGCGGGTGCACCATTCCATCATCACCCATAAAAAATGACTAAACGCTTTTGACTTTGATAAATAATCTTGATGTAATAAAATAAACATAACGTCGGTTAATCATTATAGCGTAACATTAACCTGATGAAGTTATTTATAGATTATGATATAAAGAAACAATACTTCCGTTACGGCTGTAAGAGTATAACCGTAACGGAAGTATGTTACATCTCGTTCCTCTGAACGAGATGTTACAGATATAACTGTAATATGAAAAGTCATAACAACAATTCACGTTTGATCTTAGCGAGATGAATCCTAACTAGCGTAGATCTGTTTTAAATAAACTAAATTTGTTTTAATTCGATTCGTAGAATTTTTATTTGGCATAATGTAAGAATCATAAACAAGTTTGAATAATTAAGAGTTGTAGATGTATTTAGATGTAGGTATGTATGAGGGGAAGGGGAGGTGCATTAAATTATATAATGAAATAATAATGCATAAACTGGCAGCCTGAGCACTTCAGCAGCTTGCCCCTGAAATTCCCAATTTGTTGTGAAGTCATTTTATACAATTGATTAAATATAGATGCTGTGATGATTGAGTTAATGTCTACTGATATAATAAAGGGGTTGCAGTGCCAAGTTCAACTATATTCAAAATTTAATTATTATTTGTATACATGTATGAATTAAAAAAAAATTGAAGTGTTTGTTTAGAATTTCAAAAAACAGCTTTTCACTAAATTCATATGAAAGTATATACAGTAGGTACTTACATCAATAAATTAACTTTAAAATGTATGTGTCTATCTGTTTGTTCTTGCTAATCTCTGAAATGGCTGGACTGATTTTGAAGGGAGTTTCGCTCGCAGTTAGCTAATGTTATAAGGAGTAAGTTAGGCCACTTTTATTTTAGAAAAAATATTTATTTTGGATCTACCATTTAATAAATTTTAAATGTTTATTGCGTAATACTTATTTAATAAACCCTATTACTCTACAGACGATTGTTTGGAAGATAAAATTGCCTGGCAGTAGTTGTTCAAGGAATTTTCGATATTTTAAATATGTTAGACATACCCACACTTATGTTAGTTTTAACCACAGATAAGATATTTTAACATTGAAAATTAAAAATGTACTAGTATAAAAAACAGTACTGTGTTCATACAATAAAACCATTCTTATTTTTTATGAACATCGAACAGGCGAGGCTACTTGATGGCAACAGGTGGCATGATTTACACAATGCGGCTTTTATGATGTTTTAATTCTTTTTTATTTGGCAGGTTACGGTCGTAGACACGTAATAAAACAAGAACTAAACCTAGAACTCGTTGTGAAACTCATCGACCTGATTCGTCATGGAAAGAGGGTCTGGAAAGATGCTGTCTCGAGATTCAGTCCGAAGGTCCAACTGGATAACTATATTGAGATAGCTATTATTAATAAAATTGTATTAGGAAACGATGGGTGGAAAGAAGAATCCCCTTGCTCTAATTCAAAACGCTAGCAAGTACCAGTAAAACATGAGATGAAGAGAAGTCAATCATGATGGTTAGGGGCTGGAGGAATTAGTAATAGAGACTATTGCTATTAGTCTACACCATGTAAACCACGTCGTCACCCACGTAGTCCTCCTGGAAATGATCCTGGTCAATTCCTGATAAATTTACTATATAACTTATTGACAAGATTTCATATACATCTTCTTCTTCTCTCATCGCCAATAATAAAAGCAGCCTTCTCCCTGTATATAGCAGAACTGCGTTGAAGTGTTGAAGATACAATTGTAATTATTAATCAAGATAATACAATTAATATTAAGTAAAATAACATTTTTTTTATAAAAAGCAGAATGTTTTTTTATGTATTTCTGCACATATTTTTATTACTATACTATATTACTATTAGTATTTTTATTATTATTTTAAAACACTTATCTCGTGTTAATACTGTGAAAACCTACATATAAGATGTTTCTTTCTTTCATTTATGTTTATTATTGTGCTTGTCTTGGTTTTCAAATATAAATAAATGAATAAATAAAAAAATACTTTGTTAGCAACGTTAGTAGCGGAGCTTATAGCTTTTATGACTTAGCAATTCTCCGCTTGTAAAAATCAGCACCTTGCCCCTAAAATTCCCACAGTATAATTTTTAGAAGTGAAATTTCTAAAAATCGCACTATTTTTCAGACCAATATAATTACGTTACACTACTACAGATTTGATAATTAGGACAAGGCTCAACGCAATCCGATTTTAAGTGGTTACAGCCAGCCTCTTTGAGAGCTTATTTTAGGCACATCCTTTCGTTATCGTGTCTTATTAGGTGGACATAAAACCAGACGCTATTATCCCGTCCTATAATGGCATAGACTCGAATACTGTTATGTCACTGTGGGATAAGTCTCCTGTTTGATGAGTTGAGATCACTCTAATATTGTCCTTCATTATTCTTATGAAAGTGTTATTTCCAGATGGCTTTCTTT